GTTTTATGTTTACGCGGCGCGATGCAATGCAACGCGTAAAAAGACAGTATAAGTTATTATAATCCTTAATTATGTCCCCACTGGATGCAACAAATGCCTCGTTTGTAATGGGTTTTAATGTTTTTGTCTCGTTGCTCCGGCCGGACAGGGCATCACAGTATGGTAAGGGGCGTAACATTTCCGTCACACGCTTGAGGTATTCAGCCAATCACAACGCACTGGATAGCTGACCAATCAGAGCACACCTCGCTTTTCAGACCGATGAGCTTTTAAAAATCGACTCGTTTCAAAAAGGCAGGGCATAGAGGAGAAATAATAATGTACAGTATGTGGAAAATAATGTGTTTTTTTAACCTTAAACCGCATAAACACATTTCATTACACCAAATACACAAAATAACGTTCTTTTTAGCAGCATCATATGACCCCTTTAAGATCTTTAAAGGGATTTTTATTTATTCATTTATTTATTTATTTTCAAAAATGAAAATTCTGCCATCATTTACTCACCATAATTTCGTTACAAACTCGTAAGACTTTCATTCATCCTCAGAACACTTTTTCTTTATTGTTCACTAGTTCAGTGCTGTTCAGTCATTGCTTAGGGTTTTGGCATTGCAAGCAGTATGCCCTCATAATGACCTATTGACCTCAAAGAGATGGAGAAAAGAAGAAACATAAAACTGTGGCATACCTACCAATTTTGTATAATCTTCTTTCTTTTCTTTTCTTTTTTTTTGAGTAAAGTGATGTGGTATAGTGTTGAGTGCAGCATTCATATCAGGTGTAAATATGCATCATATCAGCAAGCTAAACAAATACAATAATACAAGCTAAACTAATAATAATAAATACTGAATGCATATTTGAATCATTTAAATAAAGTATTTTAACAACAATGCATATGTGTTGTAAATCAGTTTTACCAGAAACAGGCAAAAATTATTATTATTAGTTATTATTTCAAGTGTGGTTATATACAATATCAACACAAGAGTGAAAACTGAGTAAACATCTTTTTCATTAAGTGTAATATGGCAAATTTAAATAATACAGATAACATTGCTGTAATACTTATTTAGAGTGTCCAAGTAAACATATTAATTCAGTGATGTCAGACTCACTTTTCCTGCATAATCTTTATTTACTACATGTAACCAGCTGACCAGATGCACAATTTGAAGCGCAAAATCTCTCCGTCTTTTCTCATCATCTGTCTTACTCTTTCAGTCTCTCTTTCTCTGTGGCTGCAATCCTGTTCATTAGCTTAACATGAATGCACTCTGAGTGCTAGCCAATTGCTGGAAAGTACCATAAAACCCTTCAAACATCCTTTGGTCAGAATATGATCCCCTAAAGCTCTTCAGTGGGTGGATTAAAAGAGTTGGCTTTTTTTTTTTCTTTTTTTTTTTTTAAGTCCAGTTTGATTTCTGGATTAGTTTGAAATGTTTCACTGTAAAATCTGAAAATACATTCTTCTTTGAAAGTCATTATCAAAGCACAGTTTTAAAAAAATCCCTATTGGAATTCATTGGCGACTAGATGAAAAGAGGTGCATGCAAAACTTTTCTATTAAACCCAAATGGTCCCTTCACAGTGATGTGCGTGGTATTATAAATAAACGTTCACTCAAAGCACGGATGGACGTTGGAATCAGCCTTGATAGGCTACACTCAACAAACAAGATGAATAAAAGTATTTTGTTCTGTTTTAATTTAACTGCTGTCCTTGAATATGCTTGATCTTACTGTTTGAAGAGGAATGGTAAATGCCTAGATGGGAAATTTGTGACCTTGCTAAGCCTTGTGACCTTTGCAGTGTGTGTATGTACACAAAAAAAACTTCTTACACTATCTGAAAAAAAGT